TAGCTTCTTCCTAAATGCTTGTAATACTTAAAACGGCATTGTGTGAACATAATTTCAAAAAAAAGTTTGAATCCAAGGTCTGTCTAAAGGGTAATTGATATTTTAATGAACAGAATTGCGTGAATCCGAGATTGGACGCGTCCAATGTCGGATCCGACATTCGCCTAGGCCAATCTGAGATTGGACGTAATCTCAGTTTGGACGCTGACATATATGTCACAATTATTTTGACTCAACAAAATTTATAATATCAGATCGGTTTTTTTGTGCAAATTTAAAGTATCAATAGTTCTATTGACTTTCATTTTGTCGTTGCGAAAGAGCTTGAGAAAATAACACTATGTAGTGAGATATAAAATGAAGAAATTTCATGAACATGATTGTTTATTTGATGCTATATTTTTTATTTAAACTTGACTTTGATAGATATTGTAAACTTTTCAATATAAGAAGATGCTACTCACATGTATCTGATTCATTGAATCGGTCAAATAACCATTCAATCAGAGGAGGTGTGTTAGCAAAGCACTGTAAAGCTGCATTAATGTAACACATTTTATTATCAATATTCTTTAAACCAATGATTCGTTTTCGTAACCGATTCCAATTCATTGTTGGCTTATTGCTGGAAAAATTAGGAGGATGCGATTGTATAAGAAGACAATCATTATTATTTTGTGAATGAAGTTGTTTTTTTGGCAGTGTTTTGTCAAAGGTATCAGTGTTAAATTCATCAATAGTACTGATCATTTCTACAATAGAACAAAAGAATGAATAAATTAATACAGTAGTTTTAGATTCTCATCACTTCTTTTTTTTGAATCGTCAAAATTTATCTTGGTATTGCTTGAAGAAATATTGGATTTGTGAATAGGATTCTGGGATTGATGGTTTTGATAGTCTAAATGATAATTATGAAAAAAAGAAACAAAATACCGAGATTGAGTAATAGAGTATCATTCATATTCACGTGCAGAGCTTATACGTTCTATAGTACATGATGATGGTGAAATTGAAGACTTTTCTTCTTGATCAAGTTGATTCACTGAAAATAAATTACATACACGTCAGGAAAGACGTGTTTTTTCAGTCAGATACGAAGAGAATGTCGAAAAGTTATTGTCGACGTCGTCTACTTAATTCAAAACAAGAAATATTCTAACAGTCAAGAATATCTTTACACGCTCAGCTTAATAACTATTGATAAGAAAAGGTTTTTCGACTTAATATTTAAATATTTTTCTTATTCTTAAACTACTTGATGAAAACAATGTAAATTGAAATATGCTCCTACATTAAATCAGGTATTTAGCAGTTTCTGAAGCATGTTAGATAGTTTATAGATTCCACAGAAAAAGGTTGATTGTGTTTGTTACTTCTGATGCCTAATATTATATTTTCATTCAATGCATTAGTTTGATTGTTGTCAAACTATGTTTCGATTAATTCGAACCTTTTTTCATACATGTTTCCACTAAGTAATTCGTCAAAGAATACGAACAGAAGCATCTAGATAGATACCACCAGAATAGAATATGTTCAGACACAGTTTTATAGTTTTAGAAGAAGGATCGATTAGTTGAATAATCTTTTCAACTTTCAATTTGCTGAAAATGAGATATCCAGTAGTTTTAAAAAGACTTACAATTTTGTGATTGTTCATCTAATGATTGAGCATGTAGAGTTAACGATAAATCTTCATCTTGATCATTATTTTCAAGATTCTTACGTTGTACATTGATAGATGATTCAGTTGATACTGTTGAATCCAGAATGTTTCGATAGAGAGCCATGGTACGTAAGAGGATCATGCCATTGATAGATAAATAAGATTTCCAAGGTTCTGGAATAGGGTGTGGGTGTGGGTGTGGGTGGGTG